CTAGACCATTAATACACATCAAGGAAAGGCAATGGTACTAAAAGCAAACCCTGAGGAACTGAAATATTTACCAGCTCAAAACACAACCATTCATCATTGCTCTCAATTTCCTGTCACTCAGCCAACTTTATTTCCCTCCAGTCACTGCCAGTTTTATTCCAGGAGCTTCAATCTTGCTGTCAAACCTATCACGAGCCTCTCCTCATAGAATCCCTACAGTGTGGGGATGGGCCATTCAGCCCAAAAAGTCCACACTGTTCCTCTGAAGAGTATCTCAGCCAGACTCACCACTCCCACCCCCCAACCCTGTATTTGCCATGACTAATCCACTTAGCCTGCACACTACAGGCAATTTAGCATAGCCAATCCACCCTAACCTGCACATCTTTGGACTGTGGGGGGAAACCGGAGCACCCGGAGGAAACCCACGCAGACACGGGGAGAATGTGCAAACTCCACACAGACAGTCGCCCGAGGGTGGAATTGAACCTGGTTCCCTGGTGCTGTGAGGCAGCAGTGCTGACCGCTGAGCCATTGGTCATCAATAGCTTATGTAGCGCTCTTGCCTCTGAATTTCAAGGCACTGGTTACAGTCCTCCTCCAAGCACTGTAATGCTGAGGGAATGCTGTCTTTCAGATCAAAAGTTAAACTGAGGGTCTTATCTGCTCACTCTGTGAAAATAGAGATATCTCGTGGCAATATTTTTAAGAACAGTGGGGAAGCTTTCACTGTTGTCCTGGTTGAGATTTAACAACATCACAGAAGCAGATAATCGGTTCATGATCACGTTGCTGTTTGTTAGAGGATACAGAGGAGGAGTTAGATGTACTCACTTGGGTAATAATAGAAGGCCGGAACGTTACAAACTTACACTACATGGAGGATACACAATGCTACCTGCAGAATCCAAAGAGACCCAGCAACGTATTGTGGATCCACATGATACCACAAAGTTCAGGATATGGATGAGGTTTGAGTACCAAAAAGTAACAACAGTTAGAAGGAATACATGAGAACTAACAAGAATGAAGATTGAAGTGGATGGTGTCAAACTGGAACCACTCAATGAATGTTACAGTCCACACCTCAGCTGAGATTCCACAATTCCTCACAGTTCCAGTTGGGATACCTCAAACCATTAAACCACCAACCCCCCCCAACCCCAAGGGGAGGAGGGATGAACTGGTTCCCCTGCTACATTCATCTGACCCTTTTGTGGCTCACAACATGGTCAATTTACAAAGGATGCCCCTCCTTCATGGATAGCTTTCTCCCAGATCCAACTGAACATATGCTTTAAATAGAGACAACAAGGTGCAGGGCTGGATGAACACAGCAGGCCAAGCAGCATCATAGGAGCAGAAAGGCTGACGTTTCGGGCCTAGACCCTTCATCCTACTATCTCTGCTTTAAATAGAGCCAACTTAACCAGGCTTTCTTGAGTTAACAAGAAACGAGTTTATTCATTCCTACCTGCAAGGAAAAAACACGAATGAATCACACAGATTAGAAATAAAAGTTGAGTCCAAAAAAGATAGAATTTAATAAAATGCAGATCAGTTCAACAGATAGTTGAACATTATAGTTCCTGCAGTGGGTGTTACTAGGAGGATTGCCATTGGCAGTTGAACTAAGATTGTTGATTTTACAGATTTGTCCGATTGAAGTTCCTGCATCCTAAATAATTGACTTAGCTTGTTTTCAGCACACACAGTGAGAGAGAATTCTACCTTTACCTGCAACAGAGGACTAACTAATGATAGTTCTCTGACTACGACCTTCACAACATGCTAACACTCAAACCCAGGATGGTACAACAATAGCATTCAATCACACTAGTTCATCCCAGTAGAGTTGAAACAGACTTTTTAACCCCTGTCCATGTGTATTCACCGAAGTTGAATGTAGTTTTACAACAGACACTGGCTATAGATTTAAAGCAGATACTGACTGTAGTTTGACTAAACACACTGACAGTAGTTTTACTACAGACACTAGATTTATTGCAGACACTGGTAATAGATTTACAGCAGACATTAATGGTAGATGTACTCTAGGCACTGAATATTAAGTTACAGTAGACAATGCTGGTAGATATACAGCAGATATCAACTCAGACTGTAACTGTAGATTTACTGTATTGACTGTAGATTTACAGCAGACAGTGTGGATTTGCTGCAGGTACAGTACCTGTGGAATTATTGGAAGTATTGATTTTAGATTGACTACCTGGACTGACTATCAATTTATGACATTGAGCAAATGTTCTGCAAAGTTTAACTACAGATTTACTACAAGCAGTGACTAAATTTACTGCCAGGCTTGACTATAAATTTACTACAAGCAGTCAGTAAGTGTACTGTAAAATTTGACTACAGACTTTGAGCAGAGACAGGCTGTAGATTTACTAGCAGCACTGACTAGATTTACTACATGTGCTGAGCACAGGATCAATAAAAGCAGAGACTGTAACTTCACCACAGACATTGTAGATTTACTGTAGACACAGACTTCAGAAATATCACAAACACTGACTGAAGATATACTTCCTAGACTGCCTGTAACTTTACTACAGACCTTGTTGATAGATGTAGCAGCGACACAGACTATATATCTACTGTAGACAGGCTACAGATTTACCACAAACACTGACGGTAGATTTGCCACAGGAACAGGCTACAGATTTCGCATAGACACTGTAAATTTACTAGGCATTGCCTGTAGATGCTCTACAGAAACATATTTCAAACAGACTACAGGGACTGATTCTGGATTTACTAGAAAGATTGATTAGATTTACCCAAGACACCAAGTGTGGATTCACTAGCACTGATTGTAGATTCACTACAGACATTGACTGAGGATTCACTACAGGCACCGACTGTGGATTCACTACAGGCACCGACTGTGGATTCACCAAAGGAACCGACTGTAGATTCGCTACAGGCACCGACTGTGGATTCGCTACAGGCACCGACTGTGGATTCGCTACATTCATTGATTGATTTATCGTCACATGTACCAAAATATAGTGAAAATGCTTTGTTTATGTGTGGTATTGGCAAATCACAGCAAGAAAAGGATGTACAGATCAAAAAGACTAAGAGGCATACAGGTTACAGTATTTGAGGATAGAGTCTATTCAACAATCTGATAACAGCTGGAAGAAGCTGTTCCTGAACCTGCTGGTGCGTGTGTTCAGGCTTCTGTATCTTCTGCCTGATCGAAGAGGTTGTAGGAGATCGTTATCAGGGTGCGATGGGTCTTTGATGATGTTGGCAGCCTTTCCGCGGTGCGAGCCGTGTAAATAGAATCCATGGATGGAAGGTTGGCTTCCGTGATGGTCTGGGCTGTGTATACCACCTTCTGTAGTTTCTTACAGTCCTGGGCAGAGCAGTTGCCAGACCAGGCCGTTATGCACCCGGACAGTATGCTTTCAATGGTGCATCTGTAGAAGTTGGTGAGGGAGCATATGGACATACCAAATTTCCTGAGCCGCCTGAGGGAGAAGAGGCGTTGTTGTGCCTTCTTCACCGTCACATCTACGTGGGAAGGCCAGGACAGGTCGTCAGTTATTGTCGCTCTGAGGAATTTGATGCTCTTCACTCTCTCAACCTCAGTTCCGTTGATGTAGATGGGGGCGTGTTCTCCTCCTTTCTTTCTGAAGTCAATGATCAGTTCTTTAGTTTCACTGACATTGAGAGACAGATTGTTTTCATTGCACCTGTCACCAAGCCCTCTATCTCCTTTCCGTATTTTGACTCATTGTTAGATATCTGTCCCACTGCGGTGGTGTCATCAGCGAACGTGAAGATGGTGTTCATTCAGAATTTAGCAACACAGCCTTAGGTGTACAGGGAGTGCAGTAGGGGGCTAAGGCACATCCTTGGCAGGGGGAGGGGAGTGTTGAGCTTTATTGTGGAGGAGGTGCAGTTACCTATCCTCACTGATTGTGGCCTATGGGTCAGAAACCTGAGGATCCAGTTGCAGAGGGTGGAGCTGAGACCAAGGTCTCGGAGTTTTGAGATCAGTCTGGAGGGGATAATGGTGTTGAAGGTGGAGCTGTAGTCAATGAGTAGGAGTCTGATGTAGGTGTCCTTGGTTTCCAGATGTCCCAAGGATGAGTGCAGGGCTAGGGATATGGCATCTGCTGTGGACCTGTTACATCGGTATGCAAGCTGTGGGGGATAAAAGCAGGCTGGGAGTGGATGTGGGCCATGACCAGCCTCTCGAAGCACTTCATGATTATTGGGTTCAGAGCCACTGGGCGGTAGTCATTGCATGTGTTTTCTTGGATACGGGGATGATGATGGTCTTGAAGCAGGTGGGGACTTCAGCTTGTAGGAGGGAAGAGTTTGAAGATGTCAGCACCGACTGTAGATTCAATCTAGGCACAAATCGTGGGTTCACTACAGACACTGACTGTGAAATCAGTACAGACGCCAACTGTGGTTTCACTGTAGGCACCGAGTACAGATTCACTACGAGTGTGACTGTAGTTTCACTACAGGCGCTGACTGGATGAACTACAGGTGCTGAGTGTAGATTCACTACAGGCTCCGACTCTAGATACAGAACAGGCACCGACTATGGATGAACTACAGGCACCAACTGTAGATTCACGACAAGCACGATTGTAGATTCACCGCAGACACCAACTGTGGATTCACTACAGACATGGAGTGTAGGTTCACTACAGACACTGACTGGATGAACTACAGGTGCTGAGTGTAGATTCACTACAGGCACCGACTGTAGATTTAAGACAGGAACTGACTGTGGATTCAATACAGACAACAACCTTAGATTCAGTATGGACACTGACTGTAGAGTCACTACAGGAACCGACTGAAGATTCACTACAGGTGCAAATTGTGGATTCACTACAGGAACTTACTATAGACTCATTATTGGAACTGACTGTGGATTCACTAAAGACACTGAGTGTAGATCCAGTGCAGACATTGTGGATTCACTACTAGAACCGGCTGTGGATTTACTACAGGAATCCACTGTGTATTGGTTTCTGTGTATACAGAACCGACTGTGGATTGACTACAGGCACCAGCTGTAGATTGACTAAAGGCACCGACTGTGGATTGACTACAGGCACCGACTGTAGATTGACTACAGGCACCGACTGTAGATTTACTGCTGGAACAAACTGTACATTCACTTCAGGCACTGGCTGTGGATTGACTACAGGCACCGACTGTGAATTGACTACAGGCACTGACTGTGGATTGACTACAGGCACCGACTGTGGATTCAGTACAGGCACCGACTGTAGATTTACTGCTGGAACAAACTGTACATTCACTTCAGGCACTGGCTGTGGATTTACAACAAGAACCACCTGTGGATTCAGTATAGGCACCAATCGTGGGTTCGCTACAGGAACCAACTGTGAACTCTACAGGCACTAACTGTGGGTTCCCAGTAGACACTGGCTGCAGTTTCACTACAGACATTAGTTGTGGTTCACTACATACATTTACTCTGGATTCAATACTGTACACGGTACCTACTGTGGATTCACCATAACAACCGACCTGTAGATTTAGTACAGCCACCTACTGCAGATTCAATACAGACACCGAAAATAGATTCACTACAGGCACCAACTTGGAAGGAAGCTGAACAGGGCTGTGGACGTTATTTACCCAACAGGGAACCGACTGTGGCGGGTGTCTGTGTTCATCAGGTGATCTCAATTCAGAAATTAGTTTCACGTGTTTAGACAATGCATTCCTCACACAATTAAGCAACTGATTTGAACGTTCCTCAATACATTGTTAAGTGTGCGAGGTACATTATTGTCTGCGTGTCATTAGGACTTAAAGCAAGTCGTTCACGAGAATGTGGGCTGAACATTTTCCAGCACGATGAATTTGGGAGGCAGCTGTATCTTAAGGACATCCCATGCTGGTATTTAGCACTGCAGGTGAGTGAGTCAGGGGAATCGATAGATATTGCAGGGTGTCAAGCTCTCTCTGAATTAGGTTTCACTGATTACAGATCCCACTGAATGCAGGGCTGCCTGTCTCGCGGATGCTACAGATAAACATGGGGCTGTTTCATCCGCATTCCAGAAATGGAAATGGCAAGCGATCAACAGCACAGCTGTCATATGGATGCCGTGAACAGCAAGCCAGCAACACAAGCTGGCCATTCAGCCCCTCACAATTCAATTCTATCACGGCTGATCTGAGAATGACACGATTGGGCCAGTTCCGAGATGTGGGTTGCGGGGGGCGGGGGAGCGATGATGGGTTCCCGCTGTAACCTTTGGAGGTGATCCTTGGAATCCACAGAGAAACAGCTGGAGATCTGGTTCCAATGGCCAGTTATGGCAGTTAAACCTTCCAGTCTAGGTTTCAGTGCCCTGTTTAATGGAGTAGGCTCCATTATAACCTACACACGGCGACTAGTAGATGAGGGGGCTTTGGGGGGGTGGGGAGGGGGCAGGTGGGAGCAAATACCTTCAGCATGGAGCACGAGCTCCGGTCCTCAGTGAGAGGCCTGGTGTTTGCCAGTTGAGGCACACGGGGACCAAATTCCACACGGTGAGGCCTAATGACCCAAACATGGCTGATGGGGCCTAGCTCCTTGGCAACCACTCACCTCTCTTTCCAGTGTAACGCGGATTGACCAATACTGTTAGCATCGTGGACAAAGTTACCAACTAGCCCCACCACCCCCACTACATCCCCGAGTACAATCCTCCAACCCCAGACACGAGGCTGCGTTTCCATCAGCACAGAGCGGTTGAGTACCTTTATGCTCTGGCACCGCCTAGGCAGGAGGGCACAGCCACGGTGTAAATGATGCTTCATAGCTTCCACTTTCCAAAAGACGGGAGCACTAGTTCAAGTAAATCTTACAGGTTTTCTAATATGAGTTAGTTTGAAGGCCATGCTCAAGTTACACCAATCGATGACTGGAAACAGCTGAAAATGCCTTACCAGACTCCTCCACAGGGACTAATTTACTTGGGCTTTCTTCGTAGTCATCATCAGACATTTCCATTTCCTCTTCGCGACGAATTCCCATCAGTTCTTCACTGTGCACATTCCGGATTTCCTGTTGTCGAAGAGAGAAACACAACGTTGGCAGAAATTCGTCAGAAGCGGTCAGGCTGACAAAACAGCAAAGTTAGCACAGGGTGAATGTTTCTCACCTGCATTTCCATCTACAATGGTTCTTACCTGTGAGGATACAGCTGCAACATTATAGGTTATCGAGAGCTGGAGTGGGCCAGATATTGTCCAAGTGTTTGATATTACTAGCAAAAGTGAGCATGGAGGAAATGTGTTGTCGTGAGTTTGATATTACAGGTTATCGAGAACTGGAAGGGGCTGTGTGTTTGATATTACAGGTTATCGGGAACTGGAAGGGGCTGTGTGTTTTATATTACAGGTTATTGAAAGCTGGAAGGGGCTGTGTGTTTGATATTACAGGTTATTGAGAGCTGGAAGGGGCTGTGTGTTTGCTATTACAGGTTATCAAGGGATAGAAGGGGCTGTGTGTTTGCTATTACAGGTTATCAAGGGCTAGAAGGGGCTGTGTGTTTAATATTACAAGTCATCGAGGGCTGGAATGGGCTGTGTGTTGTTCTGTGTTTGATACTATACCTTATCGAGAGTTCAACAGGTCTTTGTGTTTGATATTACAGATTATTGAGGGCTGTGTGCTTGATATTACAGGTTATCAAAGCTAGAAGGAGCTGTGTGTTTGATATTACAGGCTATCGAGGGCTGGAAGGGGCTGTGTGTTGTGTGTTTGATCTTACACGTTAACCAGTGTTTGTCCATAAAAGTGATCTAGAGTGCCAATGGGCTTTATGTTGTGTGCTTGACAGTCCAGGTGGTCTAGACAGAGTTTATGTAAACCACATTTGTCATTTCAAACTTGCTCACTCTGTTTTCGCAACAGTGTGTGAACCTTAGGTAACAAAGGACTGAATTCATATTGTTGACCCTTTTCACAAGTGCTCCCAATGCATGATGGAAATGATTTATTTGTGCACCAATGAGGCTAACTCCAGAGTCTATGAAAGCATAGCAGCATCGAAATCATGTTGCGAACTTACCATGACCTACTCCATTGCTTGATTCTCAGGTAAAAGATCATTTTATCAATCTAGGCTAGTCTCAGAAATCACGACACGGGCCAGATTCTATCACTATGTTATGTCACTTACCTTAAATGCTGCTTTAATGAGTTGTTCTAAAACCCATTTCAGATCTACAATAAGCTAAACAACAGTAGCATTTTATGCACCTGCATCAACCTGATTAAGCATCGACCTTGTGGTATTTTTAAACTTGTGTAATGAACATCTGTACCCTCCAAGTCACCTTAACTGGGGAAAAGAAAACAGGCTGTGTACAATGACATGAGCAACTCACCTCCCAGGGAAACACTCCTGTCTCAAACAGTTGAAATAATTCAAAGGACTCACCTCTAGAAGGAACTTTTCAGCTGGTGAACATCTACACGCTGTCCTGAACCTACAAGTCTGTTTGATCTCAACAGAAACAAATCTCTGAGGAACCATGTACATTGTCTTTACAATTACCTTCTTCGTGAGGCTGGTGATATCTTACAAATGCAATTGGGACTGGAAAACTTTGGGATGGGTACAGGAGAGGAACAAATGAGTCATTTTAAATCCATAGGATCTTAATCGCCAGGACAGGCTCAAGGAGTTAGCTGGGTGTGGTCTCTGAGTTGTGAGATGATGAAGGGAACACACTGAGCAACTGATAGCTGAGGGAGAACAAGAACTGTAATACGATGTTGGGAAAAGGCAGGTCTAGGTTAGGTGTTCTGAGGTGGCTTGGGTTTCTCCAAGAATTGCGAACTTCTGGAATATTCTGTGGAATTTTGCAGTGGACACCACTGGTGGAGGGAGCACTGGATCTGGAGCTGGGTGCGAAAGGACAGCCCCTCTCACCATAGCTAGGTACTTTCAGAGAATTCAGGGTCAGCATGTTCTGTTAAACTTAGGGGTCAGTCGTTCAGATGGGTCACAGGGGAAGTCAGTCTGTTATTTCTTCCAAATTCACCAAGTTTATTTCTTAAGCTATGTTGCTTTGTAGGCGTTTGTGGTTGTGAGTGAATATTAGGGCAACAATCAGAGAAATGTATCCAGGAAAATTCTCCTAGTGCTAAGGGAGAAACATTGAATGGCTTGGGTAGTGGCCACAATTAGGTCACAGTGACAGATAATCCTGGCACTGCACTTTGGTAAAACAAACAAACACAAGACTTATACAATTAAAAGGAGGATCTAGGATAGTGTTGTGGAACAGAGAGACGTAGGGTTCAGGTACAAAATTCTTTGAAGTTTGCATCATATAGATAAGGTGGTTAAGAAGGCATTTAGCATGTTCACCTTCATTGCTCAGACTTTTTGATCGTAGGAGTTATGTTGAGATTGTACAGGATGTTGGTGAGGCCTCTTCTGGAGTACTGTGTGCAGTTTTGTTATAGGTAAGATATTATTAAGCTGGAGAGGGTTCAGATGAGCTTTACCAGGAGCAGCATGGTGGCTCAGTGGTTAGCACTGCTGCCTCACAGCACCAGATACCTGGGTTCAATTCCACCCTCGGGTGAATGTCTGTGTGGAGTTTGCACATTCTCCCTGTGTCTGTGTGGGTTTCCTCAGGGTGCTCCGGTTTCCTCCTGTGCAGGTTAGGTAGATTGGTCAGTGTGTTGAGGGTGGGAAGTATAGGGATAGGGATAGGGATAGGGTAAGGGTAGGATGCTTTTTGGAGGGTCAGTGTGGACATGATGGGCTGAATGGCCTTCTTCCACACTGTAAGTATTCTACGCTGGCAGGAATAGGGGGTTTGAGTCATAGGGAGAGGCTAGATAGGCTGGGACATTTTTCACTGGAGCATAGCAGTTTGAGGGGTGACCTCATAGAGGTTTATAAAATCATGAGGGGCATCAATAAGATGAATAGAAAGGGTCTTTTCTCTGTGATGAGGCATTTCAAGACTCAGGGGCATATTTGTAAAGTAAGAGGCGAAAGATTAAAAAAGACATGAGGGGCAATATTCTTACACAGAGAGTGGCTCGTGTGTGGAATGAGCTTCCAGAGGAAGTGGTGGATGTGGGTATAGTTACTACATTTAAAAGACGTTTGGATAAATACATCAATGGGAAAGGTTTGGAGGGATATGAGCAAAGCACAGACAGGTGGGACTAATTTAGTTTGGGATTATGGTCGGCATGAAATGGTTGGACCGAAGGGTCTGTTTCTGTGCTGTATGACTATATGACTATGACTCTATAATGTCTCTTGCCCGTTTTTCCTACTCTACAAGAGAAAAAAGGAAGACTGGGTGGGGTGCACTTACTGCTGGATATCGAATGCTACCTCTCCTTGCCCCTGACCAAAGCAGCAGAATGATGACAAGTCCCTGATTGTGGAAAGTCATGGGTAATTGTAAGGAAATGAGAATTAAGCCTGCAGTAATCAACAAACACTAGGGACTGGAAAATATCTGTGAGGAGATGTGCCTTTAAGAGGGATTAATTCTGTCCTGTTTCCCTTGAACAGAGGCATTGTTAGGTCTGGTGCCAATGTTCCTGCTCCATGGAAAGCAGAGTAAATAGCTTCAGGCTTTTAAGAAAAAAAATTAGACAAAAGAAGCATGAGCGGGTGGAGTCAGGCTCACACAGACCCAAGGTTTTAGTTTTTGCTTTCAGTAGTCGAAACTGGAGTTTTTGTAATTAAAGCTGTTAGATACGGCTCTCTCTCTGCTGCTGCTGGATTGTTTCTTTCTGTTTCTCCTTTTTCCAGGACTGGAGGAGATTGCGAGCGAGGGAAATCTGTTTTACTGAATTTGCCTTTGCCAAGGGCGTGTTTATGGGAAGCTGCTATATTGGAACAGTTGACGAGTAACAGTTAAATAATATATTATTTTATTAAGTATTTCAATAGGGTCAAAGTTATGCCAATACTTTTGTTGCTTATATCTTAACAGTGGTGCAAGAACAAAGTGTGTTTTGCTTAAAGCCTAGTAGTTTGACCAATCAAATCACATCTGCTACACAACGCCTTCCACTTGCCTTGAAATAAGATAAAGGCTAGGGTTGAGGCTATCACTCAGATATATATTTGAGGGGTGTTTGAACTGGTCCATAACACATACATGTTTAGATAGTGTTTGAAAAAAACCAAATACCAATGCAACAGCAAAACGTGGGAACCATTGTGATCTGAGCTCCTTCCCTCCCCAAGAAGGTGAACAAATGGAGGAAAGATTAAATACATTAGTCACACAGCCCAGAATGAAAAAGCAATAAAACCAGCGAAAGAGAGGTACTGATCCCACTCGTATCTGCCCAAATGGAGCCCCACTACATTCATTTCTGCCTACAAATATCTTTCAAACTTTTCTCTCTGGAAGGTCTTCTGACCAGAGAGTGTGTGGGGCAGGAGCTGGTATTTTTAGAGCAGAAAATGCTACCCCTTTTCCAGTCTGTCGTTGAAGCAGATTCTCCAGACCTTGGTTATACAATCAATTCCAAAAACAGGCATCCAAAAGGGAAAGAGATTGTGAAGCAGCCAGCTATAGCTTAATGAGCAAAAGTTCCTTCAGTGTGGCTGGGTAAAAATTCTGGAATTCCCTCCCTGAGTGCATTGTGGGTCAACCCACAGCACAGGGACTGCAGCGGTTCAAGAAGGCAGCTCACCCCCACCTTCTCAAGGGGGCAATTAGGGACGTGTAATAAATGCTGGGCCCAGCCAGCGACCCCCACGTCCCTGAATGAACAACGTAAAGAGGAGCATCTTCTTCAGTTGGCTGCCCAGTGGTAGGCCTGATCAGCAGTGCCATGTCTCCATCAGAGAGAGTGCAAAGGAACACTTTGTGAATCCACCCCAGCCAGGTATGGGGGAAATCGACCCCCTCCCTATGCTGTTGGCACCAATCTCATCCACACCAAGCCATGCCCAAGGAGTCTTTGTTGCTGTAGTAACCTGCATTTTCACCCGCATGTTACAGCTTGGAGGCAGGGAATCCAATTTCTTTCTAGCACATGACTGACCAGGAATCTCTCCCCCA